ACAGAGCAAAGATTAAAATATAGTGAACACAGGTGTTGGTTTATTATTCATGATTAAACCTAAGTGTTATACATGACACTAAAAATAAAAGTCAGGCAGAATTTTACTTGAAAACCATGAGAAAATGAATGTGAGTTTTGGCCACTTTTATGTTACATTTTGGGGGATTCCTGGCATTGCTGGTGATCAGGGAGAGTAGAATGAAAATTGTCTCCTTCCCTTCTCAGGAAAGTAAAGCACTGTTAATATATTTCCAAAAGCATGTTAACTCTTCTCTGGTAATCAGTGTAAATGAATGCTATTTAATTGGCATTACATTGGGCCTTTAGGTTTTAAGTTGCTTACAAGAATGGGTCTTCTGTAGTTTTGTACAAATGTGCATATGTAAAAAGTAGTGGTGGGGTTACCACCCTCCGAAGTGTCCCATGAAGCACTACCTTAGCTCCATCTAATCTGCCTGCTTGACCTAGTACTGCACAAAGTTTTTAAACAATGGTTGCCTGCTGTCTATCTGTAAAGAGTGCCTTCAAGAGCCAGACTATCTCCATCACTCACCCAAATGCCTTGTAGAACCTCTCAGGTATCTGTGTGGCATTCAACAACCTTTTTTGTGGTTGCGTTGCCTTAAATGGAGTGCACATTCTTATCTACGTCTGAGTGGATATCTTGATTCATGTGTGCACATGACTAGGTTTTAAAAAAATGCATAACTGCAGCTTGATCAGGGCCAGACTTGCAAGCATATGAACTGAAGGATTTCTGTTGTTTATCTGAGTCTTTGGAAATTAGATTTGCTTTATAAAAATATGTCTCCCACCTCAGGACAATGTGGTCACTATTGAAAATATAGAGTTTGTTTTTATTCATACTTGTCATTTACAGTTTTTGTGAATAAATGTCCAATTAATATCTGGTTAAAACAAATGAAACACAAAGTGACTTCAGTGTCCCCTACCCAAATACTGATATAATCCTCAAAAATGCAAGCCATGACAAAGAAAAGGAAAAAAACACTTCTGAGAGATGTTTAGCCTTTGAAAAGGCCACTTTCATGTCTCCTTTGCTGTTTAGACAAACAGCCGACTCTTATTCTTGACTGGACAGAAAAGGAGATTTGGAAAAGCTGCCTGCGATATATAAATTCAGATTCCAAAACTGCTTAAACAAATGCATTAAGTGAAACTTAATTATGAATATATTTCTGACTTTACTACATATTTTCATATTGTATAATTACTTCATATTCATAATTGTACACTTTCAACTATATTTGGCATTGCCTTTGCCTTTTCTGGCTAAGGCAAAACCAGATCTTGTGACTTTAATGCATTTAGTCGAATTAGTATTGCTTTTTATGTTTTTCTTCTATTGAATTGGAAATAGGATGGTTTTTAATTTTGGTTGTTCTCCAAAGCCAACGCAATTTAAACAACTTCATTTGAAATCACATAATGGAGATCTACCAACCATCAGACTTAACCAACATTGGAATAGTCTAAATTATCACGAAATTGTCCAAGAAATCCCCTGGAGATGAGTGGTTTGTATGTCTAACTCATTCAACAAGAAGAATCCTATTACTTTTACAAATCCCTAGATTGGCCTTTAATGCAGGTGTATTTGGATTCAATGTCACTCAGACTGAGACAGGTTTGTAATCTTTATGTAAACAGTATATGTAGATGTCATTCAAGATAGTAATATAAACTATTCAATGGTATAAGTTAGTTGGCATTAGTCTTAAGTTAAGATTATCTCATGTTGGCTCGAACTCTGTAAAACCAGGAAATCTAAACTCAAAGCTGATGATTAGAGAGAAATGCCCCCTGAGAAATGTTTGACCTAGGAATTAATTAAGTTATTGCTGTTTTTTTTAAATCCGATAATTGCTCATATAGTACTTCTGAAACAATTACTAGTATATTTAGTGGTAATTTCATAGGAGTATGTCTTCTGCAAAATTTGTACTGTTGTAAATATATAGTATAATCATCCTGTTGTGTCAGGTTCTTAAAAAATTTATCTACCTGTAAACAGAAGACCTCACTTTGAAAATGGAATGTGAAAGCCAATAAAAGTCAACATTTTGCAGATTATAATTTATCACATGAGTAAAGGAAAACAGGGAAGGAAGCAATATAATAATAATAATAATAATAATAATAATAATAATAATAATAATATTTTCTTGGCCACCTCTCCTCATAGCTTAAAATGAGATAGAACATTGTTAAAACACACATTCACCTAAAAACATTTAAAATACACATATTAAAATGTATACACAAAACAGTGATTAAACATAAGGTGCACATTTAAAATTCATTATTAATATTAAGAATTAATATTTGTAGACACTACACTTGAGATATCCTGTAGAGAAAAGGAGAAGAGCTGCCATATTTGGGACATCCTTTTGGAAAATTAGTTGTGCACAAAAACATTGTTTTAGGGCAGACAACCTGTTTTCTGCATAAATAGAAATATTCTTCTTCAGAAATCATTGTCATTTGTGCAATATATGTAGTATGAACAAAACACATTTTCTGCATTCTCAAGACATGTTTTCTGTACTGAAAAAACACAGGTATTTTTAATAGAAAACATGTTATGAGCAGAAAATTGTATTTTTTGCACAAGCACTAATATTTAACAAAAATGCTATATTTTGTGCAGGAATTACTGTATTATCCGCAAATACACTGTCACATATGCAAAAGTATTGGGGTAGTAGTTACGCAAAAGACAGATTTTCTATCCCAAAAATGTTTTCAGCAAGAAAAAATGGCATGTAATTCTGTAGTTTTCTAATGAAATCCTGAAGTGCAAGCATTTCTTGAAAAATTAGCAAAATTTTCCCACTGCAACTTCTAAATCTTGGAACAAAATAAATGAAGACTTACACCCCTTGGTTAGGATTGTGAGATTGTATTCCATAACTAAAAGAATATCAATTGGCTGTAGAATCCACATGTGATTTCCTTGGCAACATAGTACCACATTGAAAATGCCAGAAACTATGAACAGTCTACCTTCAGAATGAACAGAAGATGAATGAGATCATTTTGCCAGAAGTTGTTGGCATGTGTTTTAATAGGTCAGGAAACCATAATAATTCTGATCTGCTAATGAAAACGTCATCAAACCAGTAAAGGATTGTTTTCCTTTCAATGCCTGAATATTGTATGTGAGGATCTTTCACCAAAATCGAACAGAAATATATAATGCATTCACTCAAAAATTGAGTTAAAAGAAGAGGATCTAGTTTTTCAACACTTTAAAGCTTGCTGTACCTGTGCTAATTCTTTTTGAGATTGATTTGAAATCTAGCATAGCTGTGAACCTTTTCAAGTAATTCAGAGACACTGAGTTATTAGTGAAATATTAGCTTGTCAGATGCCATTTTGATAACAACAAAAACCAGAGGGATAATAACACTGAACATTCCTTAAAGTTTTCCATAAAAAGCAGTAGGAGGCCTTGGTATGCTATCTAACAAAATCTCACAATCCTATCTTCTTTTTGTATAATAGTATTCTCTAACTCTGTTACAGTAGTGAAATTTTGCCTGCATAGATGATGCATGTAACCAATTTTCATTTTCTTTTATTTTGATGTTGCAGAGTGATATAGCTTATGAATGAAACTAAGAATGGTCCTAAGCAAATCATGTTAGTCTAAGTTACTGAAATAACTAAAGAGTCTTGAAAAGGATCCTATGTTCCAGCAGTAATTACTCAATGTATAAAGGAGAGCTGGAAAACCAGAGTTCACTGCAATTTATAGAGCTTGCATCCTGCTTCTAGAGAGAATGGATGACACTACAGTCAAGTGGATAGCAAATAGAATAATCATAAAGGGACATTGCTTTGGATCTCATGCTGGGAGAAAGGGGGTATTAATATAATATAATAATATAATATAAAAATAAATACTAAAGTTAATTGCATGGTGCTTTAGAGCACTGGTTTGAGTTCTATAGACTTACTGGAAAAACCAGCTAGGACCCAGAATACTGACTCTGACCTTATATGTATACATTTGTCTAGCCACTGACTCATTGAGCATATACAGTATTGTGTAACTTTCATTTCTTTGGAGGCTTGTTATATTTGAAAAATTGTTCCAAAGAAAGCAACAATTATGACATAAGCACATCTGGCTCTTGCAAATTTTAATTTATTAAGCTTTCATTTAATTATATGTGCTGAAAGGTCTGCTTTTGATTACTGTAATTTTTTTATTTGTCCATCTGAATGATAGTAATGTTAGGTATTATATACAAACCACTTTATACAGAGTTCTTTGTGAGACAGGGAATGGTATCTTCCTTGTTTATTGTGGCAGAATTATTGCTTCTGCTAATTTAAGGTGAGGCTTTAAGGTTGGCTGCTAGCGAAAATTAAACCTATTTAGTTTTGTTCAGGAAATACTTGATAATGTTTTAGGAATATATGACTTAATTGCACATCATTTGACAGGGATCTGTTCAACTTCTCAAAAGTTCAGGAAGTTGAATGGAAACTCCATAGTCATGTTTAAAGTTGATCTCATATTTCTCTCTTTATGAGTAGCAATTTACACTTCAATTCATATTGGCACTAAAAGATATTAGGTATGTAAATTCTTTATACTTAACAGGTAGAAATAAAAAGAGTTGATTGCTTCATCTCAGTGACAAACAGTATGGCATTAAACAAAGGAAAGCCCAGTGCAGTTTACAGTAATATTCTGTGATATTACTTGCAAACTAAATTTATTATATTTAATGAGAATTCAGATACACTCCCTAAAAATTTGGTTAGCCATGCCTGTTTAGATCATGTAGTAAGTGTGGAATAATCTCTAGACAATGTACCACATTCCTTAGTAATGTACAATTTCGGATTTTATCATGAGGTCATGCATCTTCAGTAGCATTGGCTTAGGCACTCCAGCTTGACATTTAGGAGTATCTGCTTTAAGACTTCTTGAAGATAAACATTCTTATTCTTTTGCAGCAACTCTATGCCGCTCAGTTGGCTAGCATGCAAGTTTCTCCTGGAGCTAAGATGCCCTCCACCCCTCAACCGCCAAGCACAACAGGGACGCTCTCACCTACTGGGATGAAAAATGAAAAGAGAGGGACCAGCCCTGTAACTCAAGTTAAGGTATGTCTTTCAGTTTGTATTCAGAAACGCACCTCCTGATACATGAAGGGATCTTAATTCATTGTACTCTTAACAATTTTGAAATATTTTAGGTCAAGGGAAGAAATGATTGTCACTATACCTGGATGCGATTGCTATTTTAAGGCATCGTCTTTATTGGTATTACTAGGAGACATTCTTACTATAAGGACTTAGAGAAAATAATCTCTGCACAAAGAAGGTATTCAGTGATTATGTAGTCTGTTGGGCCATTTAGAGATCATTACAACTCTCTGTGACCTTGCAGGCGGTACCCACCAGATATAGCAATAATGGCACTGTTTAGGTATTCCTTTATAAGTAAGGTGATCCAACTCCTAACATTGCCAACAAGTGTTGACTTTGACTCTTTCTTCATTAACATTGATATCTAATTCTCCACTCAGTAAAGATTAGCTTCTTTTTTTTTTACTTATTTATATTCCTAATTTTCCCTTCTACTTGTTCAACTGATGCATTATTTTATCTTTGTGGCCTTTAACTGGTTAAATGAGCTTTCTGAATTATGTGAAGTGGTGAACCTTCTTGGAGATGTATGTGAAGGTAAAGAGTCAATATGAAATGACCAGGTGAATTCTCATGCGTAGTTAACATAAAAATAGTCCTTATGGACAAGAAGTTGTATAAGTAAGAATTACAGCTGCTCTGCTAAGTTTTATGTTTAGCATAACCTGGGCAATGCATCTAGAGCATGTGATACCTTACATGATAGAGATTGCATAAATCTTACTAGTATTGCAGTATCCACACCAATTTTTTTTTAAAAAAATCAGCCTTTACTGTGTGAAATGACAAGGGAAACCACACCCTTTTGTTATTTTTACAAATCAATCATTGTATTGAAAGAAGCTTCAGATAAGGATAAACATTAAAGGATCATAGCTAGAGGAGAGAAAAATAAGACGATTGATTGGGAGGGGAGAAAATGCCATGATTATAGATTGATTGGACCCTTGTTGATATCACACTGTTGCTGGTATTTGGCTCACTTTGGTTTGGTTTTGATGTATTGTCAAAAGCTCATGCATGCTTAATTGTCACTTTCTTAGAACTAGGAAGCTGCCGCATGTTATTTGGCAGCAGTACAGAGCAAGCAATATCTTTTTCCAGCCTTTTGTGAGCATCTGGAATTAACATCCCACATAATTTCCCCTTATTTAAAGAATGATATCAATATCCATGTATTGATATAGATTCACAATTAATTAATTAATGTGATAGGCTCAAAGAAGACCATCTCCCTTTCATCCCTAACATTAACAGTCAGCTTTAATTTTAAATACTTCTCCATTATTTGAGTTGAATTTTCGCTAGGCCTAGAAGAGAACAAGCCAGGTCTTCCATATGGTTTGATACTATGTGTATGATGCTGACTTGTAAGATACTGTCCTAGAGCAGATGGCTTGGCAGAGTGATACAGTGGCTTCTTTAAGCCCTTCATTTCTGTGACTTTTTGATCACCAAATTACTACTTCTGGACAGTGTTTCATAGCTTATATGCTAAGCTTTGCCATTCCCATCCTCATGAGTTTCCACTCCAGTGGCAGCAGGAATTTAAATATTTATAAGAATTTAAATATTTCCCACTTTTTTTCTCTTGTGCATTTTCAGTGATTTTACACTTTTCAGGAATATCAGTGCTGAAAGTCTGTTGGCTCCAAAACATGGAGGAGGCATTTTCCATAAAATGTTTCTAGTCAAACTGTAGTATTTATTGGACAAAACCTAGGATTTCAGTGCAATACCAGCTTTGTGCTTTTAGTGTGTACATGTGCATGCGTGTATGTGTCTGATTCTATCTTGTTATATTTTTCTTGGTCAGCACTGTAAAGAAGGTCTTCACATGTTTAAATGTTGTTATTTTTAACAGAAAAATGTGCAAATTTATTTATTTATGTACAATATTTTTATCCCGCCTTTCTCAAGCCCAAAGGTGATCCAAGGCGGCTTACAAAATGGCAGCCATTTGATGCCATAACAGTCCACAATATACAATTAAAGCATTTAAAACAACATTATAAAAACAATATAAAAACCATTAAAAACAAATGTGAGCACAAGGCAAGATGACATATGTCACATCTCCCAGAATAGGATTTAAATGAGTGATTATACTATTTGGATAGTTATCTTGAGAAACCACATTACTTTTGAATGCTATGTAGAACATAATTGAGAAGATCAAAAAATAAATGGGTTGTGGGCATTGATCTCAAAGGGTGGAACAATTATTATATTAATTTATATCCTGACTTTATCCCACAATTGAGACTCGGGGCAGTTTACAATTTCAAAACATAATACAGCTAAAAACATACAGAAATTGAACATTAAAATAGGATTAAAATCAAATCAAATGATGTACTGTACAACTACACTTAAAAAGATAAAATTCTATAAACAGTTTTTTAAAACTATTAAAATGATTCTGTCTACAACAATATAGCACCCTCAGTCTCTTCAATAAGGAGCTCAATTTCCTTCAGTTCAAACATTAGACTTAAGAATGTGTCCACAAAGTCCATAAGAGCTTCCATTTTCCCTTTTTTTATGGATTAAGTCACTTTATTTTCTATGACTCAAAACAAAAATAGAAACACTGGAGGAGGCAATGTCTATATAGTAGTGGCCTAGAAATAATATCAACTATAGAGAGTGTATAGTATTATAAATAGTTACTTATTTGTTGCATGAGCCTAATAATACATTATATATGACAAGCTATACCATGTAGAATCTCAACTTGATAGCAAGAAGAATGTCAGGGGTAAGATAATGGAGTGTATTATTGTATTCTTTCATATATTTCTAAGCTTTGAAGTGTTCAGTGCTGTCTGTTAAAATATGGATGATGCACCCTTATATCCAGCATATCTCAGCTTTGGGCATATTTTAAATGAGGGAGCCATGTTACCAGGCTCTTTTCATTTTAATTACAGAAAATCTGTATCCTGCTATTCCAAAAAATGCTGCACCTGACTGATTGCTAAGAAGTGTAGCACAGGGTAGAAGTGCTGCAATGAAGAGGGCAAGGTTGTGTCATGAAGAGAAGCATGAGATCAAAAGAGCAAGTTTCTTAGATTCTTCCTTTCACAGAAGTTAGATGTTTCTTAAGGTTAGATGCATACACGCTTTCCCTATGTGAATTCTCCAGCTCAGTCTTTCTTGTTTCACTGACTCATGATACACCACAAAGTGAAGCACTGTCTCTCTTAATTATATGACCACGCATTTGCTTATGTGCGTATCAAATTCACTCCCTCAAAATCTCTGCCTACCAATCCATGCTTTATTTTGTCTAAATGTACATGCAATGCCATATCTTTGAAACTAACACATTACAGATTTTTTAAAATTTCATAAAATCTATTTCAAAAGTGTAGCTTCCCCTTTATAATATTCCACAGTAATCATATATCCAGTTCCACTTATAATGTGCTCGGTTGCATGATCCATGATAATAATCCATAATAATGGGTGTTTAAACCCAAACTGTAGAAATATTGGTGTGTTTATGCAGTATATTAAGGCTGTTGAATGTTAAGATAGGAATACAGCCCACCTTCTCTTTCTGGTGACATTTTGTAAACCAGCTACAATATTTACCCAATTACTGCTTTCAAATATTGTTCGTTTGGTCACTGCTACAATACAGATTATTAGGAGCCTAGCTGATTTTATAACTAATAAATAGATCCAGGTTCAGTGAAGCATAACATGTAAATTCATACATTAGAGTTCATTTCCCATGTATGGGCACGTGTTACCAGCTCTCCACAGTAGCAGTCATAGAATGATAAAGGCCACAAGGGTATTTAATCCAACTCAATGCCATGCAGAAATGCACACTCAAAACACCCCAAATAGATGGCTATCCAGCTTCTGTTTAAAATCTTCCAGAGGAGTCTCCATGGCACTCTGAGGCAACATGTTTCACTATTGAACAGTTCATAACAAGTGGTGACTGTTCCCAAGCATAGTCCGACAATGATATGCAGAATCTTTACATAGTGGATCTCTGATGAATCCTAGTGAAAGGGAAGTGACCTGAGTTCTTGAGACCCAGTTTATTGTCCAAAATCATTCAAACAAGGGAGCCAGGTCAATAGAACTACATTGTTTAACTCCTATTTATGATATATTGGTCTCTGTAGGTGTGACACTTGAGTGCAATAATAAAACTATGAAGCTGGTTTATGCTCACTAGCATATGCACTGATGGCTTGTGCTATTTGACAGAGTACAAAAGCCCCCTTATTAATTTAGATTGAGTGGACCTTCATCTCTGGCAAATACTTTGGATAAAAATGCAGTATGTTCCAGAATAATTGTCAGCCAGACATTCCTGGACAAAACATGGCTGCAACAATGAAAAATACAAATAAAGTTATTAATTATCCTTACAAAAGATTGAAAGAATGTTCTCAAATATTCCTAAAATGTTTGAAAAACATTTTCTTCAAAGGCTAAGAAATCCAGGCCAGATGAAAATCTTGACAGTTCAAAAAGTCTTGAACTGCAAAAAATGCACTTTTTTGTACATAAAAAGTTTTTTTCTTTGTAGGAAATGTGCTTTTCTGTATAGAAAAAATACTGTTTTCTATGTAAAACCTCATACATTTTGTATGGAATATGTCCCCATCAACAGCATTTTATGCACATAAAATGACATTTTCTCCACTGGAGTATTATTTGTTTATGTAAAATGTTGTTTTGTTTGCAAAAAAAATCTATTTTATTTTTTTAAAAGACTTGTGTACTTTGCATAGAATACACTACAACATAAATAGCATTCCCTGCATGCTTGCCTCATAAATTAGTTAAATTAGCCTCCCACATAAGTGGTACCTAAATTTCCTACTTGACAGATGCAACTGTCTTTTGGATTGCAAAGGTTGACAACAAGCTACACAAATTGGTCAGAAGCTCATTCCAACCGGACTGGCTTCGAACCCATGACTCACACAACTGTGTGCTCAAATGTATAGATACACAAATCACATATGCTGTAAAAAAAACTTTTGATATAAACTCAACAGAGCAAAATCACAGAGTTTCTTGGAACTGTTAAAAGTATTTCTTTGTATGAGCCCTGGGTTAATTTAGATCCCAGAAAACACATTATAAAATTAAACAATAATGTGAGCTAATTCAGTTTTAATTTGTCAAAAAGAAAGACCCAGCCACATAGTTAATGTAAATAGAGGCATAGAGCAGATGAACTAATGATGTTTTCCTTTCATTGAACCTTCAAGGAGTCAGATAATTAGCTTCTTTTGTTATTATTCTTGGAAAATAGAGTATTGTCTGGGAGGTGTAAACTAGCTGTGGCTTCCTAAGTGATAATATGTTCCATTTGTCTTCTTCTGATAATTATCTACATTATATTTTTTCAGGATGATGCCGCACAGCCACTGAATCTCTCTGCCCGACCCAAGACAGCAGAACCTGTTAAATCCCCAACATCACCAATCCAGAGCCTTTTTCCAACAAGTAAAACCAGCCCCATGAATATGGGAAATAAAAGTGGAATCCCTAGCCCTCTTGGTGGAAGTCTAGGAAGAGGATCCTCACTAGGTAAGCAGAAAGAGAGAAATGTGGTTGAATTAGAGTACCATTAGGCTGATACAAATGTCGTGTAGTCTGCTTTATTTCACAAAAGAAAACAGCCATACATTTGCAAACCAGAAGATTTTCAGTAGTTCACCCACAATTAGTCAGTAGTTCATTGGCTGATTGTGATTTCTCTTTTGTCCAGTCCTAACACAGAAAGGTTTATTCATGGGAGTACTGATTTCAAAGGGTGTGTTGAAAAGTATTTTCTTGAGCTAATGTTCATTCCCTTATAAATGTAACATCCCACACCCTCAGAAAACATCTCATGGGATTTATATGACCTATGGAGGATACAAAAGTTAGACAGAAGGGAATATTCATACTACTCTCATAGACATGGGTCATCATCCAGAATAGATTACATTTTTGCTACTAAAGAATTGGTAGTTAAAACTGAAAAGGTGGAATTCCTTCCCAGAGTGTTTGCAGACCATAACCCGATGTTACAACTAAAAGGGGGGATTTGGGAAAGGAAGCCCTGGAGACTAAATGATTATATACTGAAAGATGAAAAAATTAAGGACAAGATCAGGTCAGGAATACAAAATTACATTAAAGAGAATAGTAATGAGGACATAGCGGAAAAGACAGCTTGGGATGCAGGAAAAGCGGTGGTAAGAGGTTTACTAATTCAACAACATGCTATTTGGTGTAAAAAAAGAAACAATATGCAATTAGAGATGCTTACCAAAATTAGAGAGAAAGAAAAAGAATTAGAGATGTCTAAGGGGGATAAGAAAAAAGCAAAACAAGAGTTAGCCAAAGTTCAGCAGCAATATGAATTATTCTTATCAAATGAATTAGAAAAGAAAATTATGTATAATAGACATAATTTTTTTGAAAATGCTAATAAACCGGGCAGGCTCTTGGCATGGCAAGTGAAAGATCACAGGGAGAGACCAATAATAGCCAAGATAAGGCACAAAGGAGAGACAATTACAAACATAAGAAGAATTCAAAAAGTTTTTGAAGACTATTACAGAAACCTCTACAAAAATAACCCAATAGATACTAAAAAAATAGACCAATACCTAGCTGATATGAATGTCTCCAAGCTCACAGAAGATATGAAATCAGATTTGGATAGACAAATTACATGGGAGGAATTAAGCACAGCTATAGATAAAGCTAAATTAAATAAAGCCCCAGGTCCAGATGGTTTCTCTGCTCTGTTTTATAAGGTGTATAAAGAAGAATTAGGCCCGCTATTGCTTTCTACAATGAATCAAGTGCTCCAAAAAGGAGAGATGCCTGAGTCCTGGGAGGAAGCTACTATAGTTCTTTTACCTAAAATAGACAGAGATATTGAGCAAGTAAAGAATTATAGACCAATTTCATTGGTCAATAACGATTATAAGTTATTCGCAGAAATTCTAGCGAACAGGTTGAAAAAAATCTTAACCAAAATAGTACACGGGGATCAAGCAGGCTTCCTCCCAGGTAGGCATATGAGCCAAAATGTGAGAACAGTGTTAGATATACTAGAATATGCCGAACATGATCCAAGTAGAGAGATCGCGTTACTGTTTTTAGATGCTGAGAAAGCATTTGATAATGTGCGGTGGGATTATATGTTTAAAGTATTGGACCATTTCGGAGTAGGTCAAAATTTCAGAAAGGCAATAGGAGCTATTTATTCAAGGCAAAAAGCCAAATTAAAAATAAATAATCAAATGTCAAATTATATAGAAATTCAAAAAGGGACAAGACAAGGCTGTCCCTTGTCGCCCTTACTGTTCATTTGGATATTAGAAATTTTGAATAATAGAATTAGAGAAGTTAATGAAATTAAAGGAATTAAAGTAAAAGGGTATGAATTTAAAGGGAAGGCATATGCAGATGATCTGGTCTGTTTTTTAAGGGAACCTTTAAGAAGCATACATGCCTTATTGGAAATTATTAATGAATTTAGTGTTGTGTCAGGCTTTAAAATTAACAAGGAGAAATCTGTATTTCTAACTAAGAACCTATCTAAAAGTGATATTGTTAAATTGGAGAATATAACTAATTGTAAGGCAGTCCCCAAAGTAAAATATCTTGGAATATGGCTAAGTAACAAAAATAGTAAACTTTACCAATATAATTACGACAAAACCTGGAAGGAGATAAAAAGAGATTTGGAAAATTGGCAAAGACTTCAACTCACCTGGTTAGGGAGGATAGCAGTGATAAAAATGATAGTATTGCCCAAAATGCTGTTTTTGTTTCAAAACCTACCAATTATTAAGGGAGTAAAGGTGTTCGGAATATGGAAACGAGATCTGGTCAAATTCATTTGGAAAGGGAAAAAAGCGAGAATTGCCTACAGGAATCTTATTGATGGGAAAAACAGAGGGGGCCTGGCATTGCCAGATCTCAGGTACTACTATGAAGCCGCAAATTTCAGCTGGCTAAAGGAATGGATTAAAATGGACAATAAGGAGTTGCTTAAGTTAGAGGGCCATAATTTAAGATACGGATGGCACGCCTATCTTTGGGATTATAAGGACAGAGTGAACAAAGAATTCAACAGGCACATAATAAGAGCCAGCCTTTTAGCAACATGGAAAAGATATAAGAAGGGTATGGAGCCAAAAACCCCCCTATGGCTGTGCCCATTGGAAGCAGTCCAGAGACCGGCCACACATGCTGACTCCGGCACATACAAGGATTATTTGGTCAATGAGAAAGGACAATGGATACTTAAAAGCAGAGAAGAATCTGGGTTAAAAGATTGGTTCAGTTTTTTCCAACTACACGACAGATTTAGGAAGGATGCAGAATTAGGATTTGCCTCTAATAAATCGGAGTTAGAAAGTATTTTTGAGAAGGGCAACAAAGGCCTAATATCCAGACTTTACAAATACATTTTAGAATATAACTTAGTAGACAACCAAATAAAATCCGTTATGATCACGTGGGCCCAAGATGTTGGCAGAAATATCGATCTGGAAGAGTAGGAATGTCTTTGGAATAAGGGCTTTAGATTCTCAGTGGCCAGCTCAATTAGAGAAAATATGTTTAAAATGTTTTACAGAACCTATATAACCCCAGAGGTACTAGCTAAAATAGAGAAAACAGGACAAGGGGCTTGCTGGAGATGCAAGAAGGTGAAGGGATCTTTTTTCCACGTATGGTGGACCTGTAACATAGTTAAAGAATTCTGGGAAAAAGTGATGAAAGAAACAAACGAAATGATCAGCAAAAAAATCAAGAAAAACCCAGAAATGTGCTTATTAGGAATATTTAGGAGGCGTATTAGCACAGGAGATGAAGAAATTTGTCAGTATTGTTTTGTTGCTGCGAGACTAATAATAGCTAAATCGTGGAAGGGGGAAAAAGAGTTAAATATTAAGGATTGGAGAGATAAATTAGTAGACTATATCCAAATGGCCAAACTGACAAATAGCAGCAGAGGTGGAAATAATGAAGAATTTGTTGAAAAATGGCGGTTGGCAATTGGATATCTTGAAAAGAAGACAAAAGTAGATTTGAGGATTGCCATAAAGGGGATTCAGTGAAAGAAGATACGTGGGTAGTTGTGAGTTAGTTATGTGATCCATATGGAGTGGTGTCGGAGGTCACAGGGGTTGGGTTCACGGGTGTGGGGTTAGAGGGACAATAAATGTTAATGTATTATAACTGTACAGTCAAAGTTGATTTTTTATATGTTTAATGAGCGCTGACTGTATACCATTCTGCTAACCGGCATACTCTTTTGTATTTCTTTTTTTCTTTTTTTCTGTTTTTTTCTCTCTTTCTTTTTTACTTTTTACTTATTTCGGTTTTCCTTTGGTGTCGGTTTTGTTTTCTGTATGCACCACAAACCAATAAAAAAAATTATTTAAAAAAAAAGAAAAGAAAACATCTCATGTTGTTGTTGTGTGCCTTCCCATTGTTTCCAGCCTATGGTAACCTGAAGGAAAACTATTGTGGGCTTTTTTTTTTTGGCAATATTTGTTCAGAGGGGATCTGCCTTTGTGGTTTAGAGTATGTGACTTGCCCAGGGTCACAGAGTGGGTTTCTGTGGCTGAGTGAGGATTCAAACCCTGATCTATAGAGTCGCAGTCAAATGCTAAAACCACTATATCACACTAGCATTCTCTCTGGCTCACTTAATGGTAATCTAATTAGAACTATGGGGGGAAGCAGAAAGCATAGCTGAATGGCATGGTGGATTACAGGATAACTTAATCTAGTGGCATTTATTTAACTATAGTCACAACAAAATGCACAATTGACATACCCTTCCAAATTATGCTGCTGAAATAAAGAAGACGAGTGGAAGCTATATGTTAATGAACAACAACAATGTATATCCACAAACCTGAAATCTACCCCTGCTACAAACCCATATGCCAACAGTATCCCCACTTATGCTCTGGGAGCAATGTTATGCTGATAACATCACTACATCAGAGGTACATTTATTTGTTCTTCCTCCAACATGATATATACAGCAATGTCCCCTATGTTCTACATCAAAGAGAAACAGGACAGTCTCTATGCAAGAAGATAAATGGACACAAGAACATTAGAAGTGGCAACACGTGAAAACTTTATATATTGAAGCTTGGATATCATTGAATGCTGTATCTGAAAGCTCATGTTAAAATAAAAGCCAGTTAGTCTTAGTCCCATTTACACTAATCATTTCATTCAGTTCAAAGCTAGTTTCAAACTGAAGGAGCCAGACAACAAACTTCTCACAAAAGCAAGCTAAAGAAAGCCATTAATTCATATCAGTGCTTAATTTTTTGTAATCACCATCCAGGTCTCAAACTGGTTCCAGAATTTTCTATGCACAGTGAAACCACTTTCTTGAAACTGCATTGAATGGTTAGTGTAGTACCCTTAAAGTTGCTGCTGTATTCCTTTTCCCTCTTGCCACTTCCACAATTCTCAGTATTCTCACCTTGGCAATGAGCTATTGTTCATCTTTTGAGCCAGCTCTTCTTCCTTGTTTCTGCTTTTACTGGAACCTTTTTAAAAACCTTGAATTTATGCCATGGAAAGGGGGATATACAAATCTAAAAAGAGCCATTTCAGTGTTGTGGTTTGAGCATTGGGCTACTACACCAGAGACCAAGGGTTGAATCCCTCCTCATCCATGGAATCCCACTGTGTGACTTTGACCAAGTCACATTATTTCAGTCGCAGAGGAAAACAAACCCCTCCTCTGAACAAATTATGCCAAGAAAACCCCATGATATGTTTGCCTTAGGGTTAACTTAAGTCAAAAAAGGACTTGAAGGCACACATCAACAAAGATATCTAATAATATTTTTTCCTATCACTCCAATGCTGGACAAGCTTTTAAAGAGTTTTTTATTACTTTAATTAAATGCCTTTTCTACTTTAACTTTAATTAAAAGGCTTTTCTAATATATATGCTCCTTTTGTTATTGTTTCATTTTAAAGACGGTTTTAAAACTAAGTAATATTTTATTAATGTGTTCTACTGATATAGAAGTGTATCCTTTACATGGGAAGTTGGCATGAAGAGACTGAGTCTTAAAAAGAAGCTATTAAATGCAGAAAACAAACAAACATATGGCTTTTTATACTTATACATAAATAAATTGTAAGCTTTTGGCAGCCTTTTTGAGTCACTGGGATAGGACAGAAAATGATTTCAGATATGGCATGGAATAGTTTGAATAAGCCATTCATATTATAACCAGCTATTCTATGCTGAATAAGAAGACTATTTCCCTTTAAGGGACTATTTCCTAGCTCAGTAGACTGGTCCTGGACCAAAAAAAAAAAATCTGGATTGCTGCCCATACTTCATTATGGATGTCCAGGCTCCATGAAAAGCTTATAGTATAGGTTGTTGCTGTTTTTTTATTGTGTGAATTGTTTGTTTGTATATGTGTAAAATATATTTTGCAAGCAAAGGTATTTTTTAAAAAAGAAATTAATAACAATTTTAATAATGTTTTTATTTTTGTTGTTTCTAGACATCCTTTCCAGTCTTAACTCACCTGCCCTATTTGGGGACCAGGACACAGTAATGAAAGCCATTCAGGAAGCTCGAAAGATGAGAGAACAAATCCAGAGAGAGCAGCAACAGCACCAACCACATGGTATTGATGGAAAACTTCCCTCCATGAATAACATGGGTCTGAACAACGGTAGGACTGAAAAGGTAATGAGTTCCTCTTCTACGATTTCTGCTGTAGGGTGTGGGGGGCAATTTTGCTACACACTTTTAAACCATCTTTAATGTTGACAAAAATAATATTAAACTATCCTTAATACTGAAAAAAAATTCCTGGCCTCTTGACCTAATGTTGAAAAAAATATTTTACTGTGATATGTACTTTCAGAAAAGGTGAATTTAATCTGCATTAGGCAGCATGAAATTCTCAAAGGAAAAATGAGGTTTAGGCTCTCGGAACTAGAAAAATATTCTGTTACAGTATATAGTAATGCAGCGCACTTGGTTTAGACAGGACTGTGACTAGATCATTGTGTTAGTGAACCAAAACTATGTAAGAAGAAGCCTGTTGGATCAAACCAAAGGTCTTTTCTAGACCAGCATTCTGTTTTCTACGCTGGCCAACATAATGCCCTTGGATAGCCCAAAGGCAGGATGTCTGGGAATAATAATTAGTATAGTAAAATTGATAAGGGTTTACTACAAAACCTAGTGAAAGCATGAAGATTACTAGCTGGTTGTAGGAAAAGCAATTCCTTTCTGCTTATCTCATAGAATTTTTGAAGGGATAAAAAGTGATAAGAATATATTGTAGGGCAGTAAAGATGCCAGGATATTATCTGCAAAACACACATATGACTGCAGATCTATGAAGGAAATAGTTTCAGATGCAGCATGCTTTACAACCATGATTTCCTGGAAGAGATTTGTGAGAGCTGAGCAGCGCATTTTTCCCTAGTTGTCACGTTAATATTCAATTATATATTAACATAAACAATTCTTCCAATTGTGCCAAGTAGTTGTTATCGATTTCATGTGGCTGTCTCTATGGAAAGATTCTTCATGGAAAATTTCCAGTCTCTAACAAAGTGTAAAAAAATGGGAAGATGGAGTGGCTGAAAAAGAAATGAATGGATGAACCATAATGGACCTATGCTATCTCTTTCATGCTTATGTGATCCAGTTCACTGGAAAGTAGTCAGTATGTTTAGGTTTTGAAAGGAAAGCACAAGTGAATAAAATCAAGCTTAAGTGGATGAGTTGACAAAGTTATAGCATGCTTGGAGAGATCAAACTGGGCACCTCTGCTCCATTCTACACACAATGAAAGCATATAGATTTTTATATTTTGTTTGTATCATCTTTTTCTCCTACTACAAATAACATTTGTCAGCAAGCTGAGAATCTGTGGCACTGGAAGCTCTCTTTGAACCATTTCCTTGGGGACAAGGGTAGGGGTTTGAGGTTCATTGCCTATAGTCGTATACACAAAGGTAAAATAACACTGTAAACAGAATGAAATGTCTTTTCATTTGCATTTTATATGTTACCTTATTGCATTTCTCAGAACAACAAGGGGAATGAGGTCTCTGCCTATAAAAGGGATTTGCTTAGCCCCTGCCTCTAGAGAATTAACAGTGGTTTGCAAAACAAATTCATAATCTAATAAATATTTATTTGCCCAAGGTTCAGCTTAAATGATACCATTTTAAAACTCATTTAATACAGAATACTAGTGTGAAAGAATTCTTTGTAACATGAAAGTGAAAGAACTGAAGGTTTGATATCATAACTCTTCTTAAGACCAACCTTGTGAGTAAGGTCAACATGATCTCTACAAGTCCAGATTTTAGATGGTAGATCCCCCCAGTTAGAGTTGAGATGTTTATTGCTTGCTTTGTAAACTTTTTGAAACATGAGTTGAAACTGGGAAGTTAATATCCCTGGTTTCCAGAGCTATATATGCACCCATATTATTGTGAATAATGGTACTTACATTGGCAAGGTTTTGAGGATAACATGGACTAATTTTGATACTACCTAAACAGCAATACCTGTTTGCTGTCTCTAAACCCATTGTAACATTTTAAACCTTTTCTTATTTTCTTTAATTATAACAAAGATTTTTTTTACCAGATATTCCTATTTTATAGTGATTTCTGTAAAAAAATGAGTGGTTTTCTAAAGAAGAAAGAAGAAGAAGAAGAAAGATCAATAATCTTTGGATGGCTGTGCCCTGAAATTTGAAATTGTGTGGTTTAAGCAAAACTATCAATGACATGGAAGATCGCTATCATTTTAATTCCAGTGGTTCCTTACTAATTGCCTTGTATTCTATAGACATATGTGTGTTCAAGTTTTCAGGAATAATAGGCAATGTAAGAGGCCCTGTACAGTGAAATGCTGTAGAACTTAACTTTCCCTACATTTGCACTGTATGTTTGCAGAGAAGGAGAGAAATGCTGGCAATTGTGTCTTAATGCTCTTGATATCAGTCTTTGAGCATATTTTGTAAAGAAATTAAGAGCTTTCTTACAAAACTATTTCTGGAAATGGCCTGCAGCAAGCCCTTGCTGACCTACATGTTCCAGCTAAATTAAGATTCATGTCAAAATGTGATCATATGAGATCTCAGTTCTGTGCAGGGGCTGGGCTAATATATTTTCTGTATTTATACTTAAATAAAAAAGATTTGTTTTGCCAACTTCCAGGATTCTGTAAAAAATTGTATAAGGCACTGCCTCCACATCTCCAACCTTTGGAAACCTGCCGTTCTGGCCTTGTTCCACCAAATATTCCCACTACTGCATTGGGTTGCTGGGCCTTGGGGTGTATTTATTTATTTACTTTACTTTACTTTACTTATATACCGCTGTTCTCAGCCCGGGGCCGACTCACAGCGGTGTACAACAAACAAGAACAGCAAGATTCAAAACTACAGAATAAAAACAATTCACAACCTAACACTATACACAGTTAACACCATTACTACGATAACCATTCAATTGTAAACTTGTGGTTACATCAATGTGTGGATTCTTTACTGACTCCACTTCAGGTTTGACAAATGGTCAAAGACAGGTTTAAATCAAGGTTTAAGACACAATTATCAGTACTTTATTAAGTACTGATAATTTCTGCTATCAATTCCATTAATATGTAGCTTTCCTTTGTTTTTATCTAATGCCATATCTATTTGCCCCTCAACCCCAGAAATAACGAGACAGACAACAATGATATGGATTCAAATTGGGCAACTTTTATTGAATGTTACCTATTTAAGTTCAACTGAACTAAACTATGTGTCTAGGAACTTGGTGGCTAGCCGAGGCAGCGTCCTCGGCTATTTAGTGTGTAATATCTCTGTGCCCTGGATCCCCAACCAGGCAACCTGAAGGTAAAAGTCTGGAGAAGCCTGTCTCATATTATTGTAAACGGCTTCTCCAATTTCTGTGCCAAGTGATGTCCCCTCACCCATTTGGTGACTTCTAGGTGAGTGATTGTTGTACACTGCCCCCCACCCTTAAGGGGTGCCTTGCGTATACCTCCATGTCTGTGTTTTCCTGATCTATTTATGCCACGGATTGGGGGCAAATGTCTATTTCGCCCCCATCCCCCACCAAGCCCCTCAAAACTTCCTGAATGCCTAACTACAAATCAGCCCAAAATTGTGCGTTGCCCCATCTGTGAGGTGTACACCATCATAACGGTAAAACCGTGTTTAGTCATGTGTAATGTCTCCATGGTGTATGCCCCGTGCCAAAGCCGTGCGCATGGCCCCGTTCACACGCTGTCTGGCCTTCTCGAGCTTCCTGACGTCACCGCCTCCTGGCCACCGAAGGCGTGGAATGATGGCCGACCAAGCGATGTGAACCCGGGACCATGCCTGCCAGATCTCAAAGTTGTCAGCACGGGCTTGTAGATACAGGGCCCTGCCGCTAAGCAGGCCCAGATCATTACCTCCGATATGGAGCACCGGCCCAACGAAGGCCCCGAACACCCTTCCACTCGACCAATGCAGTGGAAGCGCACCCAGACGCTGGCCAAAGGACGAGTTCCCGGCGTATCTCTCCGCCCAGTGGACATAATTATGCCCACAACAAGGATTCTCCATCTATGCACCAGCCTGGCAGTCCCTGCAAAATAAACAACAAACAAACAAACGCCGGGCGAGCCTATCGCCAGTAAGCGTCCTATTTTCCCCCTGCCCCTTGATTCAATTATAGGATAATGTGGGAAACTGGGGACCCAACATATAAATATGCAAACCCACTGAAAAAACCTTCCCATAGGTACCTAACTGCCCCCTTCTGGGTACTGATCCAGCCAAACCTTCAACCGATTTAACTTAATTGGGTTGGGGCCCTTGTGAAACTGCGGCCTGACCTGAAGGTTTCTTAACGAATTGGGTGCCCCTATTATTACCTCTCGCGGCCCTCCCCTTGGGGCAATTTCGGGATGGATGGGACCCATAACAAATAGAGCACGAGTGCGAGTATCGACAGTCCTTCCGTGAACAGGCTCCCTGAGCCACAAATTCCCAGCATAAAGGCTTTTGGCCCTGGGACTGCAGCTGGGGAGCCCCCTGCCGAGAGGGCTGTCCCGCTGTGTTCTGAATAGTGTGCCCACTGTCCGCCTTCAAGGCAGAGGAAGCCCTAGATGGATTCATCACTTCAATCCAAATTTGATCATCGATCAAGTCCCAACGTTTTTCTGGGTGGCAAGCCGCTTCAGTTCTAAAACGCCTATCATACTCTAGCCAAGCGTTAGGAGGGCCGCTAACATAAGCCTTGTTAATAATATTCTGATACTGCCACAAAGCTGTAGCCCTTTCCGGGGCAGCATCAGAAAGCAGATTTGCGTACATCGTAAAACAAGGGAGCCAGTTCTCCCAATTCTGCTCAACCTTGCGTGTCTTAATTTTTTCCTTACTGTCCTCATCTAACTCATCCTTCTCCTTCTTATTCAGATCCCGAAAGTATAAGGAAAAGATATCGATATACTCATTTCTCAATATCTTCTCCATAGTTTTGGCTGCCAAATGGGAACCTAAACCTGAAAGACTGACAGTAGGAGTCGCCTGTGGTGGCCATTTTGCTGTGCCCCAAAATTTGCTAGCTTCCCCAGTTCGGGCCGACTCCACGGTGACAGTAGCTGGTTTGGCCGATTGAGAGGTGGAATCATCCCTATTATCCCTTATACTAAGT